TAATGGCCAGAGTGGATCAGAGGTATCTGCACATAGTGGTTGTGAAAAGGAAGTCCCTACAAACTGCATTAGGCATTGTGGCTACATTTTTATTGTACCGGTGTGTCAATCAAATATTATTTCATGACTCGTTTAAGAAACCGAAACTGTGTTTGTTTCTTATAGTTGTGTTGATTATGACTCACAGATGATTAAAACACAAATGGCCCTGCCTTTGAAATTAGAATATTGATTAAAAAGTACAAAAATGGAAACTCATTTTGTCTAACCTTAATTGGCTAATTGACTCAAAACCTTTACAGATATTTGCTGAGCCTCTAAATCGTCTCTCACCCTGCGTCTTTAGGATACAGCACGGGGAAGCCTAGTGACTTAAGAGATGTCCACAACACAAGCCATTGATCATCTCCACAAGGGCAGTAGGCCAGTGAAGGTCCTTCCTAAGAAAGCTGGTTGTTAAGTGCACGTTGTATCTACCCTTACATATGGGAAGCTACGTGGAAGGGAAAAAGTACAGCAGCAACAGGGTTAACCAGTCATTCAAGAACTTTGGGGAGATCCACAAGGAGTGGCCTGGGGCTGAAACGGTGTATCAAGGGCCGTCGAGCACAAATGAATCCTAACCTGAACAAGAGGGCAGTAAAAAGACTCCACTCTGAGGAGAAAAATAACTTAAACAAATTAATGTTCTATGGTTCAAAGTTTGCTTGTTAGATGAGGGTAAAGTTTGGATTTCATTTGGAGTAGAGAAGCACAGAAAATACCTCGATGAGGTCCAGAGTGAAGTTTTCACAGTCAGCTATAGGGGGGAGGGGGGCTGTGTGCACTGCTTGTGTTGGTCGTCTGAAGCCAACAGTCAACACAACCATCTACCAAAAAGTTTGAGAGTTCATACTTCTTTCTGTTGACCAGTGCTCTTCTGATTGATGCTGATTTAATTTTCCAGCTGGGCTAGGCCTCCTTCCCACAAGCACCAGCTCTTTCTGTGGACATGGTCTTACCGTCATCTTACCTAACCTACCTGACCCCATCAGGGAATCTGTTATTGAAAAGAGGAAGAGGCAACAATTCAGATAACCTAAAAAGCCATCAAAGCTGAGATTCCATCAGGACTGGGTTATGCTTGACGCATACATAACCCGTTTGTGCTATACATTTTACATTTGTAAACCCCCAACAGTAGGAGCTGTTGCCGCACAGATGCATCAAGCATAAACCAAGGTTAATACTACGTCCATGATCTTATGTAATATACAGATTTTCTGAGGCACTGAATTCATTGCCTGTAAACCTGCAAAAAACAAAGCATAAAATATCCAATTCTGTGTCAGGTACCTCTATAATATTTGATTTTTCAGGTATCGATGTACCTGTAGGATAACGCTGGGCATGAACATGCCGCTTTCACATTAGTTACTGAGGGGGCACCTTTCAGGTCTTCCTGGTTGACACTGAGCTTGGTATTTATTTACTTACTGACTCTATATTAAATGTATCTTTCACTAAGAAATATTATGGACACAAATATCATGATTATCTCCACTGGTGCCTTGAAAAATGCTCAAATTGATTGGATTTATTTTGGATTTCATAAAATTCTCCAACATAAGAGGCTGTTGGCAGAGGTTTGAGCTGAAATTTATGCACATAGTAAATAAAGAGAACTATATGATTTTTGCTTTTGCTATATAGCAAAAAAAAAAAAAAACATGATAAATACCAGCTAAATTTGCCTGTATTTTTTTCTTTCACATCCTGCTGGAGTTCTGCTTATTAGAATAAAATATGCCTAACCAGCTCTTATTAGCAGGCTAATTAGTTAGAGTATCTGCTTTGGTTGCCAGCCCTCAAGCCAGCTGACCCAGTGTAGATTTAAAACGGTATCATCATGCGAAAAGATGAGACACAGAAGTGGCAAATCTAGGAATGCTTTTTCTTTTTTGTTGATGTGCTGCGGGAGGTTGCAGAGACTTATTTTGATGCAGTTGATGCAAGCAGTAATGTTTTCCTCAAACTCAAGCATTCATAAAAACTTTAAACGGATCAAACATAGCTAAAAGAGCTAAAAGATTTTTTTTTTTTAAGAAAAAAAAAGCAACGTTTCGTTTTGAGATTTATGTAATTTGAAATGTCACAGGATCAGTTGGGTCTTTAGCTGTGGTGTTTTGTAGGGCAGTCATGTGAGTAGCTCGACTACTCCACATTGCTGTTGCTGTGTGGGATGCAGACTCCCTTACATGATGCTGGCTTATATTCTCTTCATTTGACATCAGTTTTTGTTTTAGTGTTTAGGCGATGTTGTCAACAGAATAGATGAGAATATAAAGAGTATCATTAAAAAGACTCAATACACACTAAAACATCCCGTTGAAATGAATTCCTGAAGTTTTAATCAACTATACAAGGAAAATATCATGAGCAGAGAAAAGACAGATGGGAGGAGGCTGAGTCAGAGTTTCCTGACTCCATTTATCCTGATTCTCCTTTCATTCTTCTGGTTTATAGGATTTTATTTTTTATTTTGCTGATTCTTGTATCATACTGGTCACCCTCTCTCTTCCAACTAGACTATAATACCACTCTAAACCAGGCTATAATACCTAAGTGTAGGAGATGTCTGAAATAATCCTGTCTGGGTGCATTTTTATTAATCTGATAACAAGTGTATCTGTGGAAAACTGTCCTTTAATAAATGCTTCTAAATATCATGCAGCCTTTTATATATGCAGCACCTCAAAAAGGGAATTCATACTCCCTAAACTATTTTTCCTTATTTTTTACATTTAATCATCATCTTTTATGTATTTTATTTGTGTTAGGCAGACTAGCTCTTAATAATTTAGTGGGAGAAATGTTTGTGGATCTTTTGTTTATTTGACTTTCTTTTTTTTTTTGTATTAAAAATGGATTTCTGCGTAAATAAAAAAAACAAAAATTTGACTGCAAATTCACTCCACACTTTTCAGATTTTTTGGTTTGTTTAATCAATTCAGAAGCATGTTCCTCGTTGTGCCTCTCAATTATTTGGTGTTTTATCACACACAATGGCTCTGATATTGGTTGAAAGAAAGAAAAACAGTTGAAGGGATATAGGAGGTGTAAGGGATATTAAACCATCTGAGGGGATGCCAGAAACGAACAGGAGGATAAAGTAATAGAGGGCAGTGTTATAACAAAAGTAGCAGTCGTGTATTGACTGATGTGGTCAACAGTCGGCCGGCTTCTGCTCTTATTTCCGACATGATGGGTGGGATTCAGAGCAGATGTGTGACACTGCGTGCCATGTACTGGAGCACTTCTGTGAGGGCACTCTGTAATGCTCATCTGTGTGACAGAGAGCTGCCTTTTGTCTTTGGTTCAACTCCTGGTGGCTTTTTAGCCTCGGATAGGGCTGAATCTGCAGCGCGGAGGACAGCGCAGCGTAATGGGTCAGGTTATCATCTGACTCTTAAACTGTAAATTAGGACTGTATTTACCTATTTTTTTCCTATAAAAGTCCCTAATTTAATCTCTGTGATAATAATGTTATTTCAGCTGTGTGATACATCAGTAGTTTTTATTCATTTCTAAAACTCTTCAATGATCCTCACGTTTTTTTTGTGTGTTTTTTTTTTTTTCCCATTTGGTGCTAAATAGCATCGTGTTTGTTTCAGATTTCTTTACTTGGGTTTTTGGTTTAGACTAAAATTCGGATAATTACATGTTTAGGAATTACGCTGGAGTCAACATCTCTGGTCATGTGACTGCTGTTAATCCAACATGTTTTGTCTTGGGGCCATGTCAGTGAGGCTCTGTACCCTGCCGTGGATTCAAGGTCAGCTTTGTCTGCAGCAGTTGCTTAATGGTAGGTGTGCAACCATAACAGTGCCGAGTGAAGGGGATAATCATGTTGTTAAAGGTGGTTTGGGGTTTCATGATGGCAGTTAGAGAGTAGGAGGTGACAGATTGTCCTTTAAAGCTTTGTGGACTACTGTGTTGATATTACTGCATTTAGTACACATAAACAGATCAAGCTTCCACCAGTTGGTATTGATCTTAGGTTTTCTTTGAGTTCTAACCTGCTGATTTTTAGGGGGAGGGTTTTGTGTTTTTTATTTTCTTAGGTTTTTTTTTGTTCCTAAGCCCCATCAGTCTTTCAAACCAGAGTTAAACTAATCACAATTTTCAAGTCAAAGGGAAAAATCCAATCTCGTTAATCTTGTTTTATGATCCTAATACCAATTTTACACGGTTGCTGTTGGGTGTGAAAAGAAATACAATTTTGAGGATTTAAACTGCCTAATTGTAGCTTAAAAATGCTTTAATTTATTCTGATTTTTGCAAATGAGACACATGATACATTAAGTTGCATCTTATATTAGTTTGTGTTCATCCATTGTCTCTTAAAACACACAGCGCAGGACGACTGCTTTTAGAGCCACGAAGAAGAACTGCGTCACACAACTAATTAACCAGTAAATTGATTTCTATTTTAAATTACATGGTTTCAGATTGGTGCCTGGACTCCAATACTTGCCAATACTGATGCCGGTATTTTCTGCTGTGTTGGAGACATTTCCAATACTGGTATTGGAATCAGAACAACTCTAGCAGTCTGTCCCATGCTACCACACTTGTGAAAGCAGCACCAACATTCAAAAGTGACCAAAACATCAGCCAGAAAGGTACTGAGAATTGGTCTGTGGTCTTGCTAATTACCAATAATTTCCCCCTGTTGTCTATTCCATTTGCACAACAGCATGGGGAAATGATTGTCAATCAGTGTTTCCTCCAAAGTGGACAGTTTGATTTCACAGAAGTTTGATTTGTTTGAAGCTCTGTTGTGTTGTTTACGTTTCCCTTTATTTTTTAAAGCAGTGTATAATATTGCTAATACTTTTAACACCAGATAAAATTGTTCATGTATAAATGACATAATGCCGACAGTTTGTTGTTAGTTTTCGTTTTTTTTATTTTTTTTTTATTGGGACAGCTCAGTTAATGTTATTCCTTTTCTGCAGGCGATGTCTGAGGAGGCTGTCCGCCAGACTCGCAGCCAGAAGAGGGCGCTGGAGAGGGAGGCTGCCCCACAATCTGTGGACCTCTCCAATGCTGACTATGAAAGCAAAAAACCTAAATTGGAATCTTCTGAGCCATCGTCAGGGGCACAAACTAAACCCAAGCCAGACCTTTTACTGGCACAGGATGCTCAGAGCCGGACTAGACCTGGATCCGATCCTGAAACGGAACCGGAGCCAGAGCAGAGCCGATTGCCGTTACCTTTAGTGTCACCCCTGACTTCAAAAGACGATCGTGATCGGACACAGAAACACCAGACGACTGAGTCCGGCTCAGACAATCGAATTCACTGCAATGACAGACAAAGGATGGAGCCAGCTGTGGAGCCTCGGAGCCAGCTCCGGCAGACTGAGGCTAAGACCTCAGGTGGGACGCTCGCTGCGGGCGAGGTGAAGGCAACGATCAAAGTGGAGGTTCAGACCGAGCAGCCTGTGGACATGAGCACCAGCAAAGGGTGAGAAACTAAAACAGCTTTTAAATCTTCTGCTTTAAAAGTTTCTTTGATACATATTTACAGATAAAGTCATAACATCGCATAAGTGTTTTTTTTAGAAACTCAGAGGAAAAGCTCTTTTTTTCTTTTTTTTTTTTTTCTAAAGTTTGTTTTTAATGAAGATGTGCTTCACACAATACAGCAGTTAATGGATCAGGAAATGGGGGTTAAATACAATTCTTAAGGCCTGGTTATACTCCCGCAGCAGTGTGTCGCAGTGAGCTTGTCGCAGATATTTTTGACTTATGCCCAATATTGAAGCGTGCTCTGCGTTATTTTATTCCACACCACAACACAAGAGGGACAATCATGAACTAGCTGTGGGTCTAAGATATGGCCTAGGTGGCTAGGAAGTGAGGGCAAGTTTGTTCGACAGTGGAGGAAGGGACGAGGGCGAAACAGATCCAGGTGGAAAAAGGGTCCTAGCATTCTCGTGCACCTCGCTCTTCTAGCTGGTCCATCTTCACGAGTCGTGTTCCAAAATGGCGGTCATACAAACAAAACAAGCCAGTAGGGTACCAAAAGGGAAATACGCATAGTGTAGAGAGGGCCAATCAGATGCCTCCTGTCTGCGGCTCTGTCTGCGGTAACCTTCAATTTTGGAGGGGTGCTCCAGAGTGTCTGCGGGGGCACATTTGCGTTCACTATGACACACACGCAGACGGCCTTGTTTCTGAGTATAAATCAGCCTTTAGGACGACATCCTTTTTGGTAAAAAAAAAGACCTGAAAAATGTGCTCAGGTGTCTTTCCACCTTTACTTCCAAACAAAGAGTCTACACATAGTAAAGGTTCTGGGGTCTCTCCTGTGCATTCATTTTTATTTTCATTTCAAATTAGGTGAGTGACTTAATCATTCTAAGATCTTTATGATATGATGTTACTCTTTAAAATCTCCACACCATAATTTCATCCTTCCTAACTTAATTTATGCTGTGTGCACTCTTCTGATATGCACAAAATGTAGTTTGGTTGCCCAGTATGGCTGATCTCTGCTAATATATGGGGGATCATGAGTTTGAAAACTGATGAGTTGCATCATTGGATCTCAACTACTTAAGGAGATCCTGGTTATGTTTGGTAGGTCTAAGCAGCCTTCATCAGGAAAGTGAAAATCTAAGCCAGGTTTTCTAGGGTATTTTGTCTGATTTAGAGTGGGTGATGGAGATGCAGCACTGTTTCAACTCAGATTAATTCTTCACCTATCCTATCCATGTCTGTCTGACTGGACAGATCAAATTAAAATAAATATTTTACTTTAACTTCAGACTGAGGTGTTGAGGATGAGATTGTCTAAAGCACCTCATAAATTAGGTAGTTAGGACCGATCTTTTAAAATTATTTCAAAGATCTTTTTAAATGCTGCTTTGATACGTATAAGAACTTTTATTTAGTCCAAATATATGAAGCAAAAACTCACTAAACTCTTCCAGTTGTTTAATGGTGAGTTTTGAATTTTTTTTAAATTTAGGAATACATCTTTTAATCAATAGCGTCCCTGTTCTGCACCATTCAGGGTACTGACAGAAAGTCCCTTTTGGCCACTTTCCTTCATGCCTTTATTACTTATGCCCAATTTCATGCTACTTTATTACACATGAATTATAGACAAATGTAAGTTGATTTCCTTTGTGGTCCCAACATGTGATGCAAATTTCTTGTCAGTAGTCCAATTAGAAATGTGTATTACCTCTGGAAACCCTTGGCCTTGTGTTCAGTGTTCATTTTTCCCCGCTGTTAGTCATGATGCGGCCTGATCACATGAACAATCAGTTGTTTCAGCTTCAAAAGTTTCTTTGCCCACTGAATGGCTGCCAGCTACTTTGTTTCTCCTTTTTATTTTTTAAGCATACTTTAAGAAGCGGTAATAATGATACTTTATGTGAGTATAAATAGATGTGTTGGGACAATTTTGTAATCCCTGTGTTCTCTCAGGCTGTGTTTTGACAGGAGCCTAAGTAGGGGGGGCGCATCTTTTTTTAGTCCACCTCCATTTTCCCTCCACTCTCCACCTGAACCCTAAAAACTCCTCTCACACAAAATGAAGCCGTGTGTCACAAACTGGTTCCAGCCGGCTGTTGCCATGGTTTCCACCGTGGAAGGAACAGGGGGAGTTAATGTGTCACGTGATGCTGACTTTGAGGTCATGTGACTTCTTTGGAAGAGTAGTGATTAATCCACAGGAAGTGATGATGATGGCGCTAAGCCCCCGAGGAGAGATTATTACGCACACACATACAAATAAGGAGGACAGCCAGTGGAAGCAGGCCTCATATTGTCTAGAAAATGTTTATGCCTGGTAGAAATGTTTAATGTCTGCAATCATTGCTTGTTTTGTGGAAATATTCCCCGCCCCACACCACTCAGTTTGTTTTTTGATTTATGTTTTAGAGCAGATAGAAACGATTAAAAGCCCGGTGCAGCGGAACCTGTTACTTTGCAGAGATAGGATGTAAGGTTTGAATAAAATATGCATAGCTACGTGGTTTTAGCACAAGCTGATCGCCATGGCTAGATTCTGACTCTTCTGGATCTACATTTGCTTTCGTTTTTGCAGGCTTTGTGTTACATATTTAGCCTCCGTGTGGGTCACTCCCAAATGCCCTAGACGCCTGTTTTTGTTTTTTATGGGTTTTCTGTTTTTTCTTTAGTGTTCTGTTAAAGCAGGAAATGCATGTTCTCTTAAACAGCCGTTTCATTGTTACTTCAAGACATTTTCTGGAGCTTAAAGGGACCACCTTGCCCCTCCTTGGCATTTAGGTGTATTCACCTTCAGTTGGAGCATGAAAGGAAGAGCTGAGAGGAGAGCTGTCTGGACTTGTTAGATTACAGTGGAGCAGATAAACCTGTGGTCATAAAGTATAATTGTTGCAGTATAGAAGACCTCCTTGAAGAGAGACAGTGGGACAGTGTTTAAATAAGATTAATGCTGTAGTTTATTTCTTGCAGCACATGACAATAAAGTAGGATCTCTCAGCTTTGCAACTCTTACAGTGTTTAAAAGTTTCGCTTAACACGTACAGCACTTGGAAGTTTTATCAAGTTTGTGAGTTTATATTGCTGGTCAGTTCTGAAACTGACCCTGGATGTTGCTGTCCTCTTCTTTTTTTTTTATTCACCTGCAGCATAAAAAGGGAGAAGCGCCCACCGTCCCCTGAAGACGACGACGACGATGTCATCATCTTGTCGGATAACGACTCCCCTAGTCCACCAATGAATGGCCTGAGCCACTTTAAGGAGCTGGACACCGACCTGCTCATGGTTAGACGAAAAACAAAAAAACAAAAAAAAAAATAACACCAAATGTTTACAGTCTTATGGTAATTTACCTGGGGTGTTGTGTACGCTATATGATCCAACCAAAAAGATCTCAATTCCATATTTCTGGTGTATTTTGATTGTTTTTCATAGAGGTCTAAAATTTGAGAGGTGGGGTGTGTAGCTCCTTATGTCTCTATTTGAGCAACAACATTTTGCTGATTCTGATTGAAACCAGCTTTGCACATTCAGAGAATTCAACTTTTGTCTGTTTTTCCTTTAAAAAAAATTTGTTTAAGGTAGTTTTGAATAGGAGTAGAGCTGCTTGCCAAAAGTTCTCTGGATTGTGGTCATTGTTCTGTTTAAAGATAAGATCACCAGCCTCCCTGTTTCTGCTGAAGGAAAGCATCGCCTCAGCATGATGCTGCCATCACCATGTTTCACCATTGGGATGATTTGTTCAAAATAATGGACAGTACCAGTTCTAGGTCTACACTTGGATTCAATGAACCAGAGCATGCTTTGCACTCCTTTGCTGACCCCCCTGCATGGCTTGTGGTACACTCCAAGCTGTTTTGAATGCACGGTGTTCTGTGAGATTTTTAGTGCATTAGACATTGTTTTCTACCAAAACTGTGGTTTAAACTGCTCTACAATCCCTCTGACCTTTCTGCTGAGGTCTTCACAGAACAGCTGCATTTATACTGAGGTTTAACTACTCGCAGGTGAACTGTGTTACTAATTAGGCGACCTCTAAAAGCAGAGGTTCTATTTAAAGGGGTGTATCACGAGAAAGCATCTAAAACACTACGAAGTTTGTAGGTTTAACACAACAAAAGGAAAAATATATAGTGTAGTATTTGTAAGGTCCTGTATTTTGTTGTGACCCCAGTGCAGCTAATCCAAAATGAAAGTTGTGTCAAGATTCAAATCACAATGACCAAGGTCTTTGGTTTGTTTGCTTTTATTTTTTAGATCAGCTAAATAGAAGTGTTTTGTTTGTTGGCAACATGAATGACTTTCTATTCTGTTGTGAGCAGAGGAGCAGCCCTGCGGAAAGAGAGCGTATCATCAAGCAGCTGAAAGAGGAGCTAAGACTAGAGGAGGCCAAGCTGGTGCTGCTGAAGAAGCTTCGACAGAGCCAAATACAGAGGGACACTCTGCAGAAGGTAAACACACTTTGTCTATAGTGACACTTAACCGTCAGTTTAGGTTGCGTCCTCCTTTAAGTGGCCATCGTCTACCCCTCAGATGAAGTCTGAATCATGAGTGGATAGGGTCTCACTTGTATTTGGATGGCAGAAATAGTAGCTGGTTCTTCTGCTGACGTTCTTTGTAACTAGAAAACCTGCAGAAGGTTAAAGTCGGGTTTAATGAACTCATTATTGCCACTACAAGGAGATTGTAGAGGTTAGAAGGGAGAGTTGGAGTGAGTCCTCAGCTTCAGGTCAGTGTGGAAACAAACGGAATGAATGAGTCATTGGAAAAGCATTCAAATACTTTACAGTCATATATTTAGTTGATTTATTAAATAATAAAGTATAGCTGTGCCACCACCCATGTTTATGACTCATACCTCGAAAGCAATAAAAATCTGATGAAGAAAAACCGTTGGAGGTGTTCAGTGATTACAGCCATGTGTATTGTGAAAGGTCCAAACATTTGAAGCGAAGTGCACCATATGTCTTTTGTTTGAACACATACACATTTTTTTCTTATCTGATATTCTCCTTTGTAATTTCTCAGCCCTCAGGTTTATCTGGTTCCTCTGCTCCTCCTCCTCTAATCCGAGGAACAATTACCAGCAATAAAGGCTCTCAGCAGGTTAATGTTCTGTTGTCTTTGCACCTTTTTGGGCGGGTCGTTGGTGTCCAAGGTCAATCATTGTGTATCTAACATGGCCGTTATTTATCTGTGTCCAGATTCTGACAGGAAGAAGCTCGGGGACAGTGATCCCTCCTCCTCTGGTCAGGGGAGGACAACAGCTGTCGTCCAAACATGGCTCCCAGATCATAATGCCACCTCTGGTTAGAGGGGCACAGGTAAGTCATGATGGGGACAATCAACCCTTCTGTCTTTACACTGTTAGGTTTTTTTGGAGCTATACGGTCTAAATGCTCATTCTTATTGCGATCACAACAACCTCTCTAGAAACTTAATGCAAATTAATGATAATTAGCACTGATTTTCTCTCTTTGCGCCTCTGTGTCTTTATGTATGTTCTCTTTGCTTTGGTGCTTTTTATGTCCCTATCCTTGTCCTCCACTCCCCTCATCCATGACGTGATTCCATGTCCTCCCTCTCATTGTCCTGGTTAGCCCATCTCTGTTTCTCCACAGCAGATCCACGCTCTACGCCAGCAACAACAGCAGCAGCAGTTGGCAGCAACAGGAGGATCAGGGCCTCCTCCTCTGCTGCTGGGACCGAGGAACTCTGGAACCTCATCCCAAGGACAGAGAGGCATGGTCCAGTCAGGCCTCATCCGGGTGGGCAATAACACAAACTCACTGGTTCGTATCTAACAGGGCCTTAGATTTGTTGACTAGATGTTTCTCAAGATTAAAGTGTGTAGTCAGTGGCAATCATTAAGCTATCAGACGTGCATTAAATCAAAACCAATGGCCTACAGTCTAGTTCAGGGGTTGGCAATCCAAACTGTTCAAAGAGCTATTTTGGACCAAATAAACAAATCGGTCTGGAGCCTCAAAAATGTAAAAGTCTCATATGGCAGCACAGGCACTTATAGTATTAGCCCACAAAACAAAAAAGAACTATGGGAGCTTAAATATATAATGAGCATTAAATGATTAAATGTCTATCCTGAAGAAAATGTCTCATCATGTGACTACTCTGCTGTATGATATTTGGTGCTTTAAGTTTAAATTCCATTACAGTATTAATGTATAAGGTTTTGTTGCTTTCATAAAATTATAGAAACACAATAGGGGGGGGGAGAGAAGAAAATTCACATCCCTGCTACCTGTTCGTTCTGTGAATGGTTTTCCATGCTTGAAATGAAACCAGCAGTATTGGAGTTCGGGGATGCAATCCACTTCTTAAATCTATCTTTGCCCTCCTCTAATTTATCCAGTTCTGCAATTGTAATTCTTCTCTCACTCCCAACTCTGTGAGCTGCTGCAAATTAAGCGCACCTTCCCTGGAAATGCCTTCCCAAAATACTCTTTTTATTATTTGAGAACTTCTCACTACAAAGCACACATGCAGGCAATCCTTCCGCATTGATAATGAAAGCAAATGATTCGGTCCATTCTTTGAATCCTCTGTTCTCATCAGCTAGCTTCCTTTTTTCCCGTTGGGAGCCATGTCCCGAGACACAATGTTTACATTTATTCTTGAAATGTATTTATTATACAAATTTTGATTGCATTGGAAAACATACTGAATGTTTGACCTCCTGCACACCACATTAAAACAAACAAAAAATTACAATCTTTTTCCATTTTCATATGGACAGCCATTAGGTGCCGGTCTAGGTTGCTGAAACCTGTTATTTTTCCCTCATCATAATGTTTTTTCTTCTTTATTCATTTTTTAATAAAATGCATTATATTGTTCAGTCAAGATTGGAATACATCACATTTTATTATTACCTCCTCATTTTAATATCCGATATTTTATAAATGTGTGGCTCTGCATTGCCTGCTTTTTACACCCGGGTAGCAGAAAGTCTAATGGAATTTCCACAGCCAGGGATGAGAGTCTTGAAGTTTTTAAAGACACCAGTCCAGCCAGGTTTGTAAAATGTGAGTAGAGAAAGAAGTGAACGAGATCGAATGTCAGTCTAACAAAGCCGCTCAATGGAGAAGAGATTATCTCAGTTTTTCATGAATTCTAATTAGGTTTTTTGTTTGATGTGCTGCTGAAATAATTTTGCACAGGAAAGATGGAAATTTTATCTTCCTCTTCTAACATGCTATTCCCAGAGATGCATACAGAATGAATGAAGGTCTCTATTAAAAATATTTTACTATAACAAAGAAATCAACCAAAATTAGAAAGCAGATATTGTAATTATTACATTGCACACATGTTTATGTACTAAATATGTTTAGGTTTTCCTATAATTATTGGTCATGTATTGTTTTTGTTAACTCACAATGTTTTCCCTCTGACTTTATTATAATTGCAGTTATTTTAATTTTTTTTTCTAATTCATACCACAATTTTTAGAATTATTTTTATGTATTATCATTGGGAGCCTGTTTTTCTCTCCTATTTTCACTTTAATTTCCAATTTTTGTTTACATGGGAATTAACAATGGAGTTAAGGAAGGAATGACACAAAAGCAAAATCAGATAATTATAATAAATTAAATATATTGATATAACACCCAAGGAAACTGTTACAGTTGGACATTTTTAATATCAAATATGCAACATTTCAAGAATAACAATTATTATTATTATGCTTGTTTTATTGTATTTCCTACGTTTGTTATCTTTCTAACTTTTTATTCATTCTTTATTATCGAAGTTTTAGTCCTCCAATAACTCAATAAACGATTTGGGTTTATTGTGTCTTTTTCTCCCATTTGACGTATTTATGGAACATGAGTCGTCAAAAATGTATGATGAATTATGGGGAAAAAAAAAAAAAAAATGTAATTATTGTTGTCAAATCTGGAGTGAAGTTGTACCAAAGAGGCCAGAACGTCTGAAATAGGATGCGGTGAAAAGGCGGAATGACCGCAACGTTTAGCCGTTAGCTAGGTGTAGTTAGCTCGTAGTCGTTGATAAAATTAAACCGTAATCTATGTAATATTATGGCCGTGCTCGCTTTGCTAAGTCGCGTTTGCTTTTAAAAGTGCTGCAAATCTTGACGAAATACGGCAAATCGGAAAACGGCAGTTCCTTATTCTGCTTTTAATTGTTTTTTACTTCGTCTTTAAACATGGCTCAGTTACCAATTACTAACTTTTTTCGGAGAACTAACAAGCAGAGAGTTGAGGTAAACCTACAGCCTGAAGTTAGCTTTGAAAAATGGCTAATGGATAAATTCGGTTTATTTGTTGCTGCGTTAGGCGATAAGTTTAAAAACGAATACATTTAAACTCGTCAAACCGAGATTAGATTAGTCTAAAAATAGCTAAAACCTTCTTGTAACTAGGGAAAAATTGTATCTAATGTGTCGAACGTATTTAAAGTGGTCCATGTCTAAAACTATACTTAAAGTCTTGAAACCCAGACTAGATTATTAAGCACAAATAGCAAGTGTTATATCCTTGGTGTTATCTCTATAAAAAAAAAAAATCAAAAAAATATTTATAAGAGTATTAGGGGGGTCCTTTTGTAAAACTGATTGTGATTTTTGGGAAGAGTTCATTGCAGGTGTGACATTAAAGAAGATTTTATTGTATTATAAATCGACCCAGGGTCAAATATAAGGAATCCCAATAGCATTATATGCAGTTACAAAAGTAAGCCTGTAGTTTTGTAAATACTTTGCATGTATCCACATGAAGGGATTGAATTCATTGTACATGAAATGCAAAGTTATATCAAGAATTATCCAAATAGTCCAGTGTGATGAGGCTTTTCATAGCCCTCCATTGATCTGTCATTTTAACAGTTAAACAAAGGATCATTCATTAATTGTGTTGTTGCTAATAGAAATCAAAGATGTTCCTGATGATTAGGTCCTTCCTGTCTCTGCTCCTTAACAAAGGCCTCGCCATCCGGTGTGAAGGGCTCCTCCTTAGGAAGTGGAGGTGTTTCTGTGGTCAGCATGAACGACTCTCCAGCTAGCCGCCATGCTGCAGCTAAACTGGCCCTTAGGAAACAGCTGGAGAAGACCCTGCTGGAGATCCCCCCACCCAAGCCACCTGCACCAGAGTTCAACTTCCTGCCCTCTGCAGCCAATAATGAGTTCATCTACCTGGTGGGACTGGAGGAGGTGGTGCAGAACCTACTTGATACTATCCACAGAGGTGTGCTTGTTTTTTTTTTTTTTTACTGTTCTCATGGTATGTTCCCATCTTTCAAAGGAAACTCATTTCAATCTCCTATACGTTACCCTTAACAGTAAGAAAACATCAGCAAACACAGCTGTTTTGATGTCATTAGCTTAAATTGTTTAATACATTTCCTTTATTGATTGAAAAAGAGAACTTAAGGTGCTGGTAGCTCCATATACCTTTAATAATGGCCTTTTATCTATTCTGTACTGGGCTCATTTTTCTGTTATGTCTTGACCCTTTTCTTCCCAAATTCTAAACAATTGTAGTTGATGGTTTTGGCTTGACTCAGCCCTAAAGAATTTTCCACTCCTCCCTGTCCAGGAAAAATGGGTGTGCCGCTGTCCAAGCAAGTTGTCAGAGACCCTTTCATTTGCACTCAGTGCAATACTGACTTCACCTGTCGCTGGAGGCAGGACAAGGCTAAAGGCGGGGCTGTACTCTGTGAAGACTGCATGTCGTCCAATCAGAAAAAGGCTTTGAAAGCCGAGCACACCAATAGGCTGAAAGCAGCATTTGTCAAAGCACTGCAGCAGGAGCAAGAAATAGAGCAGCGTATTATTCAGCAGGCGTCCTCACCGGTCTCCCACAGTACCTCATCATCCGCCTCATCTGCTGCTTCGGCACTGAAAGCAGAGCAGCTGGTGTCTCAGCAGCTGAAGCAGGCTCAGGCCAGAGTGTCCTCCCTCCAGCACCACCACCAGGCCAGCAGGGGAGGCAACATTCTCCATCATCACTCCATTAAGCAGGTGGGAAAAGCTGTTTTTCTTTTCAGCTATAAGGAAACCATGTAGGATCTAGCCCTGTAGATCAAACTGTCTATTTATGATGATCTTCCCGTAGAGCTCGCAGGGCCACCTGTCCCATGTCTCATCCGTGGGGGTGAGGGGCGTCCCCCACTCGTTCTCCTCCTCTTCGCAGCTGCAGAGCGCAGTGGCGGCCGCAGCTCTGGTTAGCCGGCCAGGTAAGCATGCCCATGTTTCCCACCGCTCTGTCCAGAGTTCAAAGGTGAGCAGCAGTGGGATCGGCGGCGGCCGGAATGTCAGCGGAGGTAGTGCCTCATCAGCTGCATGGAAGAAGCAGAACAGCAGTAATGCAGGTAGACTCGCATTAAGACCGGCCCAGCTCTGGCGCCTGACATCTCCTCTCTTTCAACTCCTGTCTGGTCCAAAAGCAATCCTTGGAACACATTTCATCCAAATTGTATTACTTCCAAAAGAGTATTAAACAAAACAAAACATTAAGATTTAAAAAAACAAAAAGGAACTGTAGGAACTGTTTTCGGACAAGGCAACCCTACTCTCCAGTTCCCCTCGTGGAAATGATTCAATTTTTTCCTACTTTAGTCCCCCTGGTTTTGGTGAGTTCCTGTTTTTCCTGGGTGTCTCTGTTGTAAGGTGTATTCGAGTAGAAAATCTTTCCATTTTTCCTGTGCATCTGCAGTCAGAAATGTATATAATCTCATCATGGTTATGAACTTATGTAAATGTAGCAACTTAAAGAAACTGTGGAACACCCATGGCTTCCATAGTAGGTCTCACAGGCTTGAGAGGGAGGCACCAGTTTGGTGTGTGTAATTCATTATGGCACCACTAGATGGGGGTAAATCATAGACACTCTACCTTTTACTTGCATATATTTATTTCTGTAAAATTTGCAACAATCTCAATATTTTATAATTATCATAGTTGGACGAGGAAAGTGATTAACTGATTAATTAACACAAAATTCTCAAGGTGTACTGTAGAATTTAACCTTTCATTTGATGGTTTTTAGTCTTGCTAAATGCTAAGGTTAAACCATGGCAAAGGTTTTGGGTTTTTTTAATACAAGATGTTAAATTTTGAATCAATTGGTTCTTGTTTACTAGTCTGCATAGGTTCAAAGTAAAATAAAAGGTCAAAATATTTAATGTAACGCTATCAATATTTGATGAAATGTCCCTTAGAAATTTGTTCAGAAACCGCATGGCTTTTGCAGCTATTGCTAAGTGTCTCACTATGTTTTAGGTGAATATTTGCAGAAAGGTTTTTTTTTTTTTTATATATATATAGCTTTATTTTCTGGGAAAATGCCAGCTTTTAAGCATAGTCCACAAACATTTCATAGGTTTTCGTCAGTGATTTTTATAAAACTTATGGCTAATCTTCTAAACAAACTGTGAGAAAACAAAAGGTATTTAGTTAGTGTCTTGATCTTGAAAGTTCTATTTCAGAAGATGAGGGGAATGTTATTTTCTTCATCACATGTACACTTCAACTATGAGGGAAAATTAGGGGGAAAATCTAGGAAATTACACAGTAGGATTTGTTTTAATATTTAAGAAATATTACCTTAAACGTATGGTGGAGGATGTTCTTTTTCCGGGTGGATCATCAAAATAATTGGTCCTTCTAATTGTCAATTATTCTGGTTATATGTTTACGTAAGGCTGTCATATGTGCTGATCCCCATTTTCACTGTTGAGTCTGACATAGTCGAACAATTGCAAATCTTCTTTTGGAAAGTAGGCTTGTATAAGCGATGCAAACAGCAACTTTTAAACAGAGCACAAGGAGAAATGGGCTCTCGTATGCGTTCCCTCCTGGAAGCGGGTACATGTGTATTTTTTTCTTTTTTTTATTAGAGGGGGAGGTCTTTTCAAAACTGTAGGAAACATGCTTTCCTAAACAAGATTGATCTACAACCCCAGGCACTCACAAAGCAACTTTCAACCTTTTATCATTTGGTTTACGTAGATATTTAGATTTATCAAAGATGTACATTTGAGCTTGAGTAATTTAAAGAAAAACTCTTTGACCATGTTTTTTTTTAGAAAAAACTGATGACTTTATGTACATTTCTGACTGCAGCTGTGTTCGTCTGTCCGTTGTTGGGACGTGGGTGGCTTCATATTCAAGTATTCATACTGCTCCACTGATTAATCTGTGTTCTGACCCACTGCTCTGCTGCATGTTCACAGGAGTAACTATGGCCTATGTGAACCCAAGCCTGACTGGTCACAAGAGCTCGGCCACCCCCGACGCCCGTCACAGGGAGTACCTGCTGGACATGATCCCCTCCCGCCCTTCAATCTCGCAGACTGCAAACACGTGGAAATAAGTGAATAAATGGTGCTCTGCTGTCCAGAGGTTGTGTCAAAGCTGCTCAGCTCTGATAGTTTGGTCCACAGCGCCCCCACAGGACTGTTAAGCAATTACAATCTCTCAAAGTGAAGAAACGTTCCTGAAATCTCTTTGTAAGATTTTATCTTTTAGTTTTCATTATTCTTGTTGTTTATTTTGAAGTTCACGCTGTTGTTTTGATAAATATGCACAAACCATTTTGAGTGGGTCAAAGACAAAAAGAAAAAAAAAAGCAAAATAAAATCATACTTGAAGGGCTTCCCCTTGGTTCTGTCCTCCAGACCGAGCAGAAAAGTTGTTAAAAGATCTGCTGTTAAAGGAAGTACTGAGTTTTAGGGTTAACAACCCTTTCTGCCATCATGGTGGTCAGATGAACCTTTATTTTTGACACTTGAATGGTTCTAATTATAACCCAGGAGTTCACATTAAACGAAAGACACATTTATTTTAGGTAAAGGTAAAATCAGCAAGTTGTAAAATGTTCATTACATCCTCTTTGTGTAGGTAAAGCTTTCAATTTACGTTGTATTTACAGTAAGTTATTTTGTTCTTGACTGATGTTTAAAAAAATCGCTGAGTATGACAGTGGTTGCCGCTGATAAGGACTTTATTTTAGCTTTGTTTTTGTTGTTTTTTTTTCTCCCAGTTTAACAGCATGGCTATCCATACGCCTGTTTTGCACCTTAGCAGAAGAAGCGCGGTGTCATTGCTTAGCTCATCTGTAATTACCATTTACTTATTTTATATTATTGTCAACATTGTAAGATTTTGATGTCATCATTGCAAACTCAGAGACAGAGCTGAATTTTCTGCACTGGATCCAGAGCTTTTTGCCTTCAGTGAATCAGTATCCATGACCCTGGGTGGACGTTGCCCTTTCTGGGTTCATGTAAGGAAGGGTCTCCTAGCTACCAGGATTCTGGACTAAACATTCAGAATACCACACCATCATGGATCATTTCTCTGCTTTCCATAATCTTTTATTGTATTGTTCAGAATTATGTTAAAGTTTATTTGGTTTACCTTTTCCTAGTTCCTAAAGAAATAAAAAAAATATACATTTTAAATGGCCTCTGTGTTCTTATTTTAGAGGGGAATTATCCAGAGCACTGACTTTTTATATGCATCTGCTATTTATTTTAATACATTTTCTTTAGGTTACAGATATTTTTGGCTGAAAGATTTTATTTATTTGACACTTTCAGGTGTCAACATGTACACCTTCAACGTATTTATCTTATTGGAAAACAGATAACTATTCGGTTTAAGCAATCCAAGCTTGTTTTAACTATATACAAGGTCTCAGACAGAAAAAGTTTGAAGCATTGGTGATTTCAGATGTTTGTGGAGGCTGTTTTCACATGTATCAGCCAATGATCCAAACTTGAAGAATTGAAGCAGATACTCTTTTTTTTTTTTTTTTTCAATTTGTTTTTTGTTTTTACTGTGCAGCTCTTGCATAAACCCAGACGTTGACCCGACCACAAACGGTGTTCAGCAGCTTCTCACTTTGCAGTTCTGGATCTCTGCAGCCTGATTGGTCGCTACCTTTGACTGTTTCTCTGGTGAATGCCCTCCTGCCCTGCTGGTTAGTTGAAAGCAGTGTCTTGGAAGTGATAATGGTTGGTTTGGGGGTAGTGTTGTAGTCATGACCACACATTTTGTGGCTCCAATGACTCGGACCTGCTTGCTTTGCTCCTTGGTCTTCATGATGCTAAAATCTGAGGCCTCCACAGATGAGATGGCTTTATGCTGAGATTAACTCGCTGCCAGACTTTTTTTTTTTTTTTACTGGCGGTCTATTGCTCTGTAAATGTCTTGTTAATGTCTGCCATGTTGTTAAACGTGTTTTTTCCCCTCAAGGCCACAATTGCACCATATGGATCTATTTCTGTCTGAACACACAGAAAGAAAGAAAGCCGAGTCCTCCAACTGTCGCTCTACTCTGCTTGCAGCAAAAGCAAAGTCAGTTAATGTCTAGCTGGATATATCCGCTCATCAGACAGGTTTGACTTGTTAGCAGCTTGTGGGATTGATTAAAAAAGTGGCAGGTAGTTTAGTGTCTCCTTATAAACGAGAAAGCTTGAAACTGACATTGGAACAACAAGTTTCTCCGGAGCTGTGCTACAGGACATCTTTATATAGAGGTTTTCTTTAAACATTTTCAACAAGGAGGCTGCTTTTTTGTTTTATTTTTTAATAATTGTCTAGAAAAATAGTTTCCCATTATTTTTGTCTGGAACAGAGTGTCTCCTCCCTTGAATCATTTGTCTTATATAGGATTAGGTGGTCCTGACTACACTATTTATTACTGGTGTAATTTGTCTTTGCAATTTGTAAGTATTGCTTATAAGCACTTATGAAAATGGACCTGAATACAAAAACAACACAGTGTCCAGTAATCCTGCTCTTTTCACTGTAGAGTCATGTGCTACTTTGTGTTTGTCTATTTTATGAAACTATGTAAAATGTGTTAAAGTCGAATACTAGAATGTTTCATTGTAACTTCTGCTTGGCACTGTATGAAAAGTTAGACATGTTAAAAATAATCAATACAATGCATATAATGGGGATTTAGAGGGATTCCCTATTCAATTATTTGGCAATAAATCGAGAACTTTGGGTAATACAGAAAATTAGAAAGCTGACATCTATTAATAAATTATATAACGCAACTTGTTCAATAATGTTGTTAGGCTGGTTTTCATGAACCTCTTGTCATTTAGATGTATAATGATTCCAGAAAACTCTTAAAACCTTTATAGTATTTAAAGCTGGTAGTAATGTAACATTTCTTTTCATTAACTGAAAATGTAATTTGAGACGTTTTGTTTTTTTTATTTTAAATGAAACACTATAAACTTAAAAATGAACAGAGGAAGCAATTATAATGTGTGGATCTTACAGATGATAGTGGGTATAGTAGGTTTGTGTCCTGGCATTCGGGTTTCTGTGCAGTGCAGCGATTAAAGTCATGGGGGAGACTTGGGATTAAAACAAGAAACATCACAAACAGCTTCTGACATGAAAAAAGTCTAGCAGTAATGTGATTTATTTTATTTGTTCCAAATCCAGTAAATCTTCCTACAGATCTAATATAACTGGACTAAAGAGGCCTGCAGCAGGTCAAAATGAAATATAATTTCTGTTACTTTTATTTAATTAATCTACAGTTCTGCAAATTTAATGAAACATACATGATATTATTATAAAATACTCTTTTTTTTAATTTTATTTTATTTTTTGCTATTTTGCCTACTGCTGCTGATTTTTGCTGAGTGTGGAACATATGTTAACATATAAACACAGACAAAGAGACTTACTGTATGTACACAAAGTACCATGTGCTATGATGATTGGAGCACTTTCTTAATAGATTGATACAGCACCTAGGTGCATATCTGTACATATTGTGGCTCAAAGTTCTTAATCATTTTTAATTATTTTTTAATTCTATGATTTGAAAATATTATTTTTAGGTTCATACTTTGTTTCAGAGCAGAATCTCTGTTAAGTAAAAAAAAAGCAAACATGTAAATACTTGTTTTTATTATATTATTATTATATACACTTAATTTTTCCAAATATTTTTTTGCTTTATCGTGAATAGATTATTTCTCTACTCATTTCAATTTGAAGTAATGGTAATCCTTCTTACTGCACACATACACATTTCTTAAAATGGTTTTACAAACCTGAAATGCTTCTAGATGCATTGAAACGTGTTGTTCCTTATTTAGACACGTGGGGGCGATGTGGAGCTCATTGACGGTCCGTTCTCTGTGTCCTAAAAGAAGAAGAGTCCTCTGCCGTACCCAGGCTGGAGCAAGATGGCGGGGTCCAAGGTGAAGCAGGACATGCCTCCTCCGGGAGGATATGCTGCTTTCGATTACAAGAGAAATCTTCCTAAACGAGGACTTTCTGGTACAAACACTCTTCTACGCCTTTATAGATACATGATTACATACAGATCCAATGAGAAGCGGTTCACAGCAACTCGAACAGCGGCTAATGCTAACTGTTCGGCTTCAGCTTTTGACACAAACTTAAATAAAAAAGGCTGAGTGATGGTAGCTTTACATTAAGCTCTGCTTAGAAAATACGTCTTAATTTGTTTTAATAGATGTATAGTTATGTTTATGTAATAAACTGCACTAATTATTAAAATGATGTTGATAAGACAGGTTAAGCTGCTAGCATAGATGCTTTGTTTACTGCAGCATATTGAAGGAAACAGGTTTGTTTGTGTTAGAGAGGATTGTATGCTTAATTCAATATGTCTGTAACTGTGAGACAAATATTATAATGCAACATGAATGTAGTAAAATCTTTTGATTACAGTATTTAGTTATGGTAATATAGCAAATGTGACCATTGTATTTTATGACAGGATAGTAATGATATACTTCAATAGATCTACATCAAATAAAGATTAGGGTTAGATTATGAACTTGAACTTAAAACCATTAAATGTAAAAAAAAAAAAAGTATGTACTTAATGTTTAAAGCGTCCTTTCTTTACAGCATGATTCATCATTAAATTAGTGCATTATGGGAAAAAATGTAGATAAAGGCAAGGATAGAAGTATGTAAATCTCATGCTATGTAGAGTTAAAATCCATTCACTGACTAACACATCTCGATTTTAGTATTTTTTTTATTACTTAAATAATTAAGATAAAACAGTATTGCATAGATGACAGTGGTTAATGCATTAGGCAATAGTTTCCAATAACTGTTGGCTTATAATCTTGGAAATAAGCTCTACGAAATATCACACTTATTAGATTAAAGTACAGTTAGTAGTATTATCCTGAAAATGTTTTGCACAATAGGTATTGATCAATTTAAAAAAAAGATGCAAGGAATTTCTAAACTATAGATGAGCTCTTTTAGATGATTATCAGATTATTACACTTTGGTGATCTTTCGATTTGTGATACAGTTTGTCTTTAAATTTAGCGTCATTGATATGTGAATTAAAATATCAGAATGTACAGAAACAAAAGCAAATTCAACACTTTTCTTTTCCTTAAATTTTTAGGTTTTAGTATGTTTGGAATCGGCATCGGCATCATGATGTTCGGCTACTGGCGGCTGTTCAGCTGGAACAGAGAGAGGAGGTAAGGAGCACTTATAATATAATATAATAGTCTATAATGTTCGCAGCAAATCTCACACTGGTTGTGATTTTTGCATCCAGGCGCTTGCAGATTGAGGAGCTGGAGGCTAGGGTAGCGCTGATGCCGCTTCTGCAGGCAGAGCACGACCGAAGGTGAAGATGAAAACTCACATGTAGACTTTCTGTTCAGGAGTGGGAACAGCTTCCTGTGTAACGGTTGGGTTTTGCATTTCTACAGAACTTTAAGGATGCTTAGAGAAAACTTGGAAGAGGAGGCAGTCATCATGAAAGATGTGCCAGGCTGGAAGGTAAGGAGGTTAAAAATGCTACTGTATATGTTATGATGGTGAGATGGAGTGGGGACCCCCTAATTTTTTATATATATATATATATATATATATATATATATATATATATATATATAAAAATATGAAATTGTGTTATATCAAACTGGTCTTATAGTCACTCTATTACAGATGGAGTAATTTAACGATACTAATTTCACCCTGGGATTCTGATTCAGATTCCTCATTTATGGGACAGGTGTTGTGAATGAAACGGTGCCCAGCTTGAAAGAGCTCCTGTTTGTCGCTGAATGTGTGCATTGATGACTGAAAGACATCTTCTGCCTCCATTTATCTGTTTACTACAGTGTGTTGAATTAATGAAAAAGTGTTTAGACATTTCAATTAGTGGAAAAAATTGCAGGAGGGAATATAAATAGTCTAATCAATCAAACTTTCGCATTTTGAATAATTTTTCAGATCAGTATAAGGTACATGCTGGATGTCATATGACCCACAGCGCTGCTGTATGTCTGTGTGAACTCCCCTTAATAACGAGAGCTAACTAAGCTACAACATGTTGTTGGGGCATTTACAGTTTTGTTTTTTAAGATGGGATTGAATATAGAAAAAATATATATTTTACAGTTGTATGTCGTATCAACAAACACACTTCTCCTAACTGAAAAATGAATGTAAGATTTTTTTTCCTTTAAATGAAACGCTATAAAGTTAAAAATGAACAGTGGAAGCAATTATAATGTGTTGATCTTACAGATGATAGATTTGTAGTAGGTATGTGTCCTCGCATTCAGTCTCTGTGCAGTGCAGCGATTTAAGTCATGTGGGAGACTTGGGATTAAAACAAGAAACATCATGACGAGCTTTTGACATGAAAAAAGTCTAGCAGCACATGTGATTTATCGTTTTATTTTTGTTCCAAATCCAGTAAATCTTCCAACAGATCTAATATGACTGGACCAAAGGGGCCTGCAGCAGGTCAAAATGAAATATAATTTCTGTTACTTTTATTTAATTAGTCTAAAGTACGGCAAACTTAATGAAACATACATGATATTATTGTAAACTAACTTCTTTTTTTTTTACATTATCACTGCTGCTTACCTTTATTACGGCTGCACCTTATAAAATTAAAAGAGCTGTAGTGAACGGAATTTCTTTTTGTATACACTATGTGTATAAAGTCTTAAGTCTAGAGGGGTGAATATGAAAGCCTAGTATCTAAATCAGGCATCCCCAAAGTCGGTCTTCGAGGGCCGCTGTCCTGCAGGTTTTAGAGGTTCCCCTGCTTCAGCACAGCTGATCTACATTGATAGTTGATTAACAGGCTTTTGATGAACTGCAATCATCAACATCAGCTGTGCTAAAGCAGAGAAACCTCTTAAACCTGCAGGACTGCGGCCCTCGAAGACCGACTTTGGGGATGCCTTATCTAAACCTAGAGGTTACAGGTCTTGTGCTCCTTTTGCCCATTTATAGATTAAAATTTCAGGGGTAAGGCTCCCCACTCTTTGATTGGGTGTATTTCTTTTTTTTATTTATTTCCCCTCTGGCAACCGTTTCCATGACTCTTTATGCACTTAGTTTGTTCAAACTAATGTAAAGATGTCTAAAAGCTGATTTATACTTCGAAACTAGGTCGTTTGAGTAGACGTCCGCGCCTCCTCGGCAGACACTCTGCTGCACCTCTCCCAAATAATAGGTGACCGCAGACAGTGCCAGGAGGCCGTCTTGTTTTGTTTTTAAGCAATTGCGGAAAACAACTCGTGAAGTTGGACCAGCTATAAGAGCGAGGACGCTGGGACCCTTTTTCCACTTGGATCTCTATTTTTCGCCCTCATGTTCCTCCGTTGTCGGACAAACTCGCCCCCACTTCCTCATCGCCTCAGCCGTATCTAGACCCACAGCGTATAGAGCAGACCACGCTTCAAAATTGAGCATAAATCAAAAATGTCTGCATCAAGCTCACAACGACACACTGCTGTGGGGAGTATAACCAGCCCTTAAGCCACCATGCTTTAGTAGCCGCGTTTACATGCGCAAATTTCCCTGACCAGATCTTAACCTTGGTGGATCAGAATCTGTTTACATGGAAACTAGATACGGTATTTAAAAAAAATCTTATGACGAGTGGGTGTGTAGATATACCAAGCTTTCATCATATTCTTAATTTTCTGAAAAGTGGCTGTAAAAAAAAAAAAAAAAAAAAAATGCAGGTTTTGTAAAAGAACTCCATCCTTTTTTTGGAGGTCATTATGCTAACGCTTCTTCACTACAGGGGTAGAGGGCAGGATGGATGAAGTTCAGGAGTGAATAAAAAACGTGAAGCTGAAGTTGCTATAGCGCAGTGGGTTTGTAGTTTGTACATTGATGATAATCAGAATGGCAATTTGGGGAAAGAAAATAATTTTCTAATTGAATTGGACTCAATCGCGTCAGAATCTTAATTCCAAGATGTTTACTTTTTGATTCGAACAGGCCTTTGATCCAGTGATTTTTGTCCTTGTATAAGTAGCTAATATACTGTGGCACTTCACTGCCATCATAAATACTTTAATAATCCCAGAGGGAAATTACTTTTGTTACACGCTCCAGTTACTGTTTTATGTAACTGGAGCGTGTAACAAAAGTAATTTCCCTCTGATGCATGGTCTCACACTCATATGTTAAACATTTAGCTTCAATTGATGAATCAGCTATATATTTACATATATATATTTATAGTGATGGCTGCGTTTGATTGTACTGGTTAATTTACCACCCAGTAAATCATCTGTAAATTCAATTAATACAATTCTGAGCAGTGGCTAAATTCAGTTTTAGTTTATATATAATTTGCTTCTGCGACTGTCTGCAGGTGGGTGAGAGCGTCTTCCACACAGATCGCTGGGTCACCCCTATGACCGAGGAGCTGTTCAACCTGCGACCACGTGAGGAGCTTTTGCACAAGCGTTTTGGCTTCCTGTGGTACGTGTGATCCTGCCTGTGGATGTCCCAAGATCCAGCACCCATGTGGACCTGAGCCCCCCCGCTCACTTCTGCTTGTAAATGTTCAATAATAAAGTATCTTTTTCTGTACCTAATCTAATTGTTTTGTCATTTTGGTTCTCACAAGTTGACATGTTTTAGTCTTATTCCTGACCTTTTAAATACAACTTTCAGATGTTTGGATGGGGAATGAAATAGTCTGACAAACTTAATGGTACAGTAGTTCCAGTGCTGTAATGATCCATCTAGCAAACAGTAAATTATTAATATGGTCTTGAGTTGCTAAGGTTCCCCAATGGGGGCTGACCAGTGTTTCTTACTACCTTTAGCTTAACAACTGAGCTGTGACTTCAGTACGATCAGATACTTTGATCGTAATTGGACAGACATTTAATTTAACCTCTAAAGGGGATGGACAGCCTTAACAGTTAATGATTTCAGTGTTTAGGTCTTGTGATGTCGTACTGTTGTCTTGGGCAATCCTGAGCCAGATTTTGTACCAGTAGTTATTTGAAAGAAACTGAGCAGTGAATGGTTTATGTAATAAATTTTTTTTGGAAAGCAGAAAAGCAAAACTACAGCCCAATATATAAATTGTCTTCTATACTAGGTGTATTGCGTTTAATGCCTCCCTGTACTCATAGCCTGATAAGCTTTATTGCAATGTCTAATCCTTGTTCGATAAAATTTTAAAGATTCCAGATTTAATCACTGTTTGGTCAGGTTCCACTAAAATTCAATCCCCTCTTCACTAATCTTCAGTTCTAAAACAAAATGGCTGATGCCCTTACAGCTCAGTTGAGGGAGAGAAGCAAACTTCATTTATTGGTCACTTCCCTTAGTAATAGATGACGTTATTAGATTACATCATCTGTTGCCATGGGCAGTTTTCTAAACAACCAATAAGGACACCCCACTATTATTCTACTTTAAGATCTGATAGGCTAGATCTTAAGTCATTCAAAAAGATGACCATGTTTATGTATTTAATAAAAATTAAGCAAATCAGGATTTGTTCATCTTTATTGAAAGAGCACAGTTCAACTCCAAAGCATTAGCCACAAGGCTCAGCCATCTCCACTTCGACAACCCATCCACAGGGACCTCATCCCTTTCCATGTCATGAACACATTCATGAAGGACCTGGAGAATAAAAATATAAAATTCACTCAAAATGTAAAATTAGCTTCACATCACCAAACCATTGTAGCGTCACTTACCAGATATAAGAATCTGCATAGGGATCATCATCATCATCATCTATAGCCATCAGACCAGGGAGCAAGGAGATCCATTCAAGTCTCAACTGGTCAGTTCACCCTAGAGAAAAACACCAGTTAGGCCTGAAAACTAACAAGGAGCAAAATGTTCTGCATGCAACAAGTTTAAGTTGTCAGGAGTAAATTCAGAAGTGAGCTTGAAGTGATTACAAATAGGGGTGATCTGTAGGCATAACTGGACGGAATTTGAGCAGCAATGAGGTGAACAGAAGTCGACCGAGCACAATTCTATCCGTGACTTTGATAATGCTCGTGGGCTTTTAGAGCGCTACAATCCAGGAGCTTCCTTAAAACATTTCCTCATAATGGCATTATCTGAATCAGGAAGGAGGCCATGGCATGTTTGCAGGAGACATCTGAAGCACAGGACTTTACACAACTGTAGGTATTCATGGAAACAATGAGAACTGCTTTTCAAGGATGTGAGCAAAGCAAAAGGAGATTTTTACCTCACGTGCATTGGCCTACTTTCTTCATATTTGATATAGGCAAGAGCAGCTTTTCATCTTTGAGCACTTGTTGGCAGGCGCAACACTTCTCTCCAAGGACTTGTAGGTTTTTGAAGGAGCTGAGGTCTTGGAACATACTGAAGCATTGACAGGACACCAGCTGACGGCTTGAAAACTTTTATCACTTGCAATCCAAACTTCACTAGAAGTTGGGACTCAAAAGTTAGGATTTCAATTCCTCTTTAACATGTACAGGAGGCACTGGACCAAAGAAAATTTGCCTAATAACTTTATGGAAATTAAGTAGCTGTATGAAGTTAACCATTAAAAGAGAAAGCCAATTCATGTGCCCTTTAGCAACTGGTCTATGAGTGATGTTAGAGAAAAAGAATAAACAGTTTCCACGCAGCATTGAGTTAGCCACCACCTTAACATTCCCATGTGATCATTTTGAAGAGGCAACGGAATCAGGATCATTTCACATTTTGTTTTAATAGGCTCCATGAAGCCAAACTGACAAAGGAAAAAAAATTCTTGGATCATACAAAGAACATAAAGTACAAAAAACTGTTCCCGTTCGGTTACTCTGGTAACGAAGTTACATTTTCTGATCACTTTAAACAAGAGAGTCCATTTACAGCACATTAAGATGCAGATGTTGAGCAGAGCACAGAAGATACCTGGGGCAGACTGTAGCATGCTGCATTTTGCAACTTCATGAACAGCTGGCCACTTCGGATGTGTAGTTCACCAGGAATTCACTCTTTTGGGAGATTGAACACAAAATGAGCCTTGGGTAAGCTAGGTTCTCAATAGTTTAAGAAATTTAACAATAAAATCCCCCAAAGGTTAATCTGAGTATGCCATTTATTCCTCAGTTTTAAGATTTGGTAGGAGGTAGGTCAGTTTATCAACAAGGAAAACAAAAAGCCCCATTAAGATTTTATAAAAACAAAAACACTTTAAAGTGCTGGACGAAAAAAAAATAGCTGATTAACTGATCGACAAAAAAAAAAAGCAATGTGGATAGCTGCTTTATCCCCATTTTAAAGGGGGCTGTACAGTAGATTTTATACAAAAAGCCTTGAACGGTAGGAGTAGCCAATTGAGCAAGAGTACTGAATTTCAATCTGTAACATGGTTGAGCATTGACCAAAACTCGTGGCTACATTTACTTCAGATGCCAAGCTACTACAACAGAACTACATATTACACGTGGACATGTTTTTCCTTGAGGAGCACAGCTTTCAAATACGGCCAGCCAAGTGATGATCTTGAATCAGGGAGCTTTACTCGTGTGTTGCTGGAGGATAAGAAGTGGGCACAGGTAAAGACACTGAATGTTGACACTGCTTTTTTCACAATATCCATTCCCCCTTAGATCTAGTCTCATCACCCTCCCTCTTTTTTTTGCTCAAAGGGCTCCATCAGTTGAGAAGTGAGCAGCATTTGAAGGTAGCATTTCTCATTTGCGTTAAGAGCTCAAACGTCTCCACCAGTCTCCTTCAGTGTGGAACGGGCCAGCAAAGACAGGCAACTGTATGCAATGAGGCTTGAACTTGGGCTCAGGTACAGAACTGAGGGGCACACATGAGCCTTTAACATTCGGGCCAGGAAGGCATCCTTAACATTACTGAGTGAAACTTGAACATTTTGCAATTCCTCCAAATTAAGTGTTCACCATCATTAAACTACAGCCTACAGTATCACTTAATTTTTTAACGGCCTAAAATGGCTACAATTAAACGCTAAAAAAAGATTCTTACCGTAGCTGTCATAGCTATCCCGATAGGATCCAGAGCGGTCACCATATCCACCCTGCCCCCTGAGGGAGAAAAATAGGCAGATTTAATTACATATTAAAAAAAATATACACCTATATAAAAAAAAAAAAAAAAAAAAAAAAAAAAAA